TCCGTGTTAGTTTTTTTTTTCTACCTTGACATTGACTCTTTATTTTTACAATTGTTAGTGCTAGGACCGTGCGAGACTTGCCTCGCCATTTCTTTTCTAATTACCCATATTCTGACAGTTTGAGTACTTGTGCGACCCACGCAAATGTGCTTTAGGTTGGTATTGTTCGTCGAATCAGTCAACCTCACCTGTTAATTGAGCTGATTGTAAACCGACACATGCGTACTGCCTTCAGAACGGGTCCGCTCAAACTGTTGTGGTTCTTTCCTCAAAAGCCCACTACAGAAAGAACTGGCACTGTTTTAATACGTAATCTTTTAAACATATTGTCTGGACTTTAAAAGAGACGGACCTCTGAGTTTGTTTCGGCATTTCTTCTCAGAGTAGTCAGTTAGGAAATGTCGGCCTTATCGTCCGCTTGATAAAATTGACGTGTAAAAGTGCTGCCTTGTAGCAGAAATAAATTCACTTGTTTCACTTGACTGTCCATAGGCGGTGTCGCGTCGATTGCTTACCATCAGGTGATCCGTCTGTTCGTTTACCTGCTTATTGCATAGAAAATGATAATAATTGTTCTTAATATAACAAAAGATATAAAAAGTACGATCTTCGACGTAATTTTTTACGATAATGTGACTGCAATTTGGCTGGCAATATGGTCTACGTTGCCAGTACCTAATTTTACACTTATACCCCGGCTATTTATCCAAATAATCTACTCTCTTATGACGTGATAAATTTTGACACTTGTCAGTGTCATCCCCATACCTACATTTTGATTTCTACTTTCTCTTTAAACAAGGGATAAAGTAGCGTTTAGCTAAAGGCCCTGGGCTTTGAGTAAGCGTGGTTATTAATACTTAAATCTTCTCCGTGTGAGAAGAGGTTAGCTCAGCAGTAGGCACTTATAGGCTGTTGATAATGATAATGATAATGATGACTTTATTATACACTGAACTTTTATAAGTGCGATCCGCCTACCGACCGTGGAGATGATGAAAACTGCTAGCCAGGTGGACTGTGCTTTTTGCAATTTTGCTGGCCATTATATGGTAGCCATTTATACCAGAAATATTATATTATTCGTCTAAAAAGCATCTTATAGAAATGGACGGTCCAAAACGATACCTAGTTGACAACTAGTCAAAGAAGGAAAGGAATACCGTTTATTGGCTATGCCACGACAAACACGCAGACAACAATACAAGAACACATAAAAATAAGTTCATGGTGCGTGTGCAAAAGTGGAATTTAGTATGGAATAGGTACCAACTGACGACGTCATCGTATTCCTGCGTCAAATCTGCCGATATGGGATGCCGATAAACGAGCTAACGGATAACCTGATGGTAAGCAATCAACGCCGCCTATAAACACCTGAAATACCAAAGGTGACCGACCTTTTGGGAATTGGGAATTTGAGGATTGTGGGGGATTCGGGGATTAGGGAGACTGGGGAGGGGGGTTAATTGGGCCTCCGGTAACCTCACTCACACGACGAAACACAACGCAAGCGTTGTTTCACGTCGGTTTTCCTTATGGCCGTTGTATCACTCCGGTCGAGCCGTCCCATTCGTGTCGAAGCATGGCTTTCCCACACTTTTGAACACAAAACCCTAATCAAAAGGCCATATCTATAAGAAACATACGACAATCAGCATCATTTGTCACCGACTTCATTATCAGAGACATGTTTTGTCATCATCATCCGTCGTAGGATAACAAAATCTTTTTATTTTTATCCATGAATACATGAACATGTACAGATTTATCAGAAGATTAAAATCTGAAGCCATTTTGGTGATGACTAGGTTTTTTTGTTAGTTTCCTTCGTATAGATTTTCCATATTAGGCACAGGATGAATATACCTTTCTCCAATCGATCTCTGGTCTCCAATCTGGGTGCTTACTCTTGAAACCAATCTTAATATCAATGCAATTTCAATCCAATAAAATCTCAATAATTATTCAATGTCAAAACTATACAACCCCTATCGTAGCTGTTAAAATAGCATTCAGAGTACGGAATATACCTCTAAAGCCCAACTCAATACCATTTAGTTCATTCAATATCCACGCAATACGGATGCAATGAGCGCTAGTGTTGCAACTCAAGAGTACGAAATTTTACAATATCAATGTCGATCGATCGGAATTTGATTCAAGAGTAAGCCCCCAAGTCATTCGAATGTAAACAACTCAATTTTTGACGTAGGAGAGCCATGTTTCGGCAAGAATGAGCCGGTTCAACCGAAGGGATACCACGGACTCACTGGAAACCGACGTGAAGTAACGCTTGCCTTATGTTTCACTGTGTGAGTGAGGTTATCAGAGGCCATATCCACCCCTTCATCTCTGAACCCTCAAGTAACTTCTCTTGTGTTGACCTCTCCACATACAGCGCCCCGATTGCTTACCTTATCCGTCTGTTCTTGTGCCTCAAAAAATTATTCATGACTGGGAATTTATCGGAGATGTAGAACAACCTCTATCAGCGCAACCAGCGGACAGACATATTTATTTTATCTATATATATAGTGTTATGTCTGTATATATGTTTGTAAACGTCAGGTCGTGACATTGTACGGCGTAGCAATCAAGATAATGCCGTGACAACTGACAACTGACACACTGGACTTTATTTATCCTTTGTAGATAAAAAAATGAAAAGTCAGTAGAAAACAATAACATAACATAACATCACGCCTTTTATCCCCGAAGGGGTAGGCAGAGGTGCACATTATACCACTGTACAAAGTAACACCCACTTTTAACTATTTATGCTATGAGTCCCATGTAATAGGGTGGATAATATGTCTTTCTAGAGCACCCTCTACCGACGGCCCCACTCATACCCGCTCTGTATACTTCTAACAATAAATTTTAATATACATTTTTCTGAGCTTGATAATCAATAGACTGCATACTACTCTGTCAAGAAAGTACTGGGAAAAGATCAATAATACACAAAATTTATATAATTAGCTGTATTTAAGATAATAGTAGGGGAGCCCATGAAGGGATTTCGGTAGTTACTCGAGCGCGTCAGATTAACATATGGGGAAAACCTAGTGTCATGTTGAATATACCCAACATATATCCGATCTGATTAGAAGGGGGGGACTGAAAATTAAAAAAAAAGTCTGACTAAATAAAGTCAGTTTCGTCAGATTAAGGGAAGGTAGGTCAATACCGTGCTAAAGGAAGTGCGTTTAAAAAATCTGCCCATTCCAACTTGATTTGCAAGAGTGGGGATTTTGAAGGGTTCTCGTTTGTACTCTCCAGAACATTCAACCCCACCATGCAAACTGGCAGATTAAGAGTTTTTTATTATTAAATACACATGGAGCATGTACATTATCAATATCTGACACGCTCGACCACTAGAACAAAAGTTACGCTTAACAATTTCAAAGATCTGTAGATTCCCCCTTCCCCCACTGGTGGAAGAAATTGTCACTAAACCATTTCTTCTTTCCATCAGCATATCTTCAAAATCCAGTAGGTCCCAAGGACGCTCAAGTAAATCCCAATTTAGCATCATGGGCTCCCCTACTATAAATAACAGATGCAACTTAAACTCCGCGCCAAAATAGAAAATAGTTGTGCCAATCTAACAACTACAAAAACAGAAATTTGAATTTGGAACCATAAACAAATCATCCATTCCCAATACTTTTTTGACTGAATGTAATTATGTTTTAATTTTGTTTTTTATAACGTTGTTCCACGCTAGGGTTTTCTCCTGTGTCGTTGGTGCGTTTACAAACATACAAGTTCACGTACACATGACACCCAGACCCTAAACAACAATTTGTGGACCATGCAGCAGCGATCTCTCTAAAAACCCTGAATATTTTATTAGAGAGAAATGTTTTAATCACCATTATCTACAGTCTGTAACATTCATCGTATTTTCAGGTTACAGAGCTTATTATTCATGAAATAAATAAAATCTGCCTCATTGGCCAAGTAGTCGCAAGTGCGACTGCCGGTCAAGGGGTCTCGGGTTCGATTCCCGGGTCGGGCAAAGTATTACTGTTAAAAAAATCCCAGTAGTAGCTCGGAGATTGCAAATGTGCCCGGTATATGGCAATAGGCTCACCCCCTATTACATGGGACTCATAAGATAAATAGTGAAAAGTGGGTGTTACATTGTACAGTGGCATTAGGTGCCGTAATGTGCACCTCTACTATCTACCCCTGCCTACCCCTTCGGGGATAAAAGGCGTGATATTATGTTATGTTATGTTATAAATAAAATCAGCTATTTAACAAATATAGGCACCTATTGTTACTATAAACTCTACTTATTGCCTATTTTAATAACTGTGTTTTAATAATCTGTCGATAAGATCGATTTGTGACATTAGTTGTATGGTACCTATCTGCAACTTTGTGGGACAATGTCGCTATGTTCACATTGGCCAGTTGTGATTATGATCAAAATGTCGCCTGAGGAGGAGTCAGTATTCTCGCTGGACTACACTACGGTAATTGGGCTTCCGGTAACCTCGCTCATACGACGAAACACAACGCAGGCGTTGTTTCACGTCGGTTTTTTGTGAGGCCGTGGTATCACTTCCGTCGAGCCGGGCCATTCGTGCCGAAGCATGGCTCTCCCACACTTGCATTTCTTGATTTCAGAAAACCAAAAAAATCCAATTATAAGTTTTGCCCAAAGATAATCAACGCCAATACCCTTTGTTTGGCAGCTGCACTTGGCCAGCGAGGTAGTCTCAAAAACATACAGCGATTATAATCAGTAATTAGCATTACAAATTGAAAAAAAACATCAAAAAATACATAAGTGACGTAACCGACCTCGGTTAACTAAACATTGACAGTGCCAAATAAAAAAAAAAACATGCTAAACATAATTGTCATAATCTGCATTACAAATAAATAATCGAGCAACAAAAACTAGCGATACGATATCATATCGCCGCAAAGATAATGTTTACAACACACAAATACCAACGTCAGTCTAGAATCGCGCGCGAAACAACACAGACGCGTTTGACGCGACGCCATTAAAAAAAAATACGACCATAGTGCATTCCCGCCCTTTACCCGGTGAACTGTCAAATTGTGTTATTTTCCCGTGAAACAAATTTGTGTATTTATTGTAATTTGGTGTTGTTTTTATAAACAGTGAGTTTTTTGTTTTGTTATTTCTATTTTGTTGTGTTTCTTGTCAACAGTTTGGTGTGTTGCCAGAACTTGTCTTTCGAAATCGTTTGTTTACTATTTATAAACTATTTTTGAAACGTAGATTTGTATTTTTAGTTAGCCGGCATTAATTATGCGAGCGCGTACTTTTCCTACGAGTTTTATAAATAGGTCAAATGATAAAAATATTATGATTTAATCAGCTGTTCGTTGCGGGACAAATCGTGCAATAAAACTTATTCGTCCATTAATAATTTATTCTTCGTCATTAATTATTTATTACTTGTTTATTTATAAATGCGGTCTTGACTATTATTAGCATTTAAAACCTATGAATAGAAAGACCCGCCATCTTTAATTTATTTTCCGTGCATCAAAACGTAAATACGGAACTCTCAAAGAATTTGTCCTATCTCCGTGTGTCTTATAGCCACAAGCAAGACATTTTTTATTTGCAAAAAAATTTTGTCTGATTCTATTCCATACAGTGACAAATCTATGATTCTTTTAAAAGAAATTCTTTTGACCCAACTTTAAAACAATGAAAGAGGTTCTCAGTCTGACCTCTATGTAAGGTACCTATGCTTGTCCGCGATTATCTTTAACTGAACTGATTTTCATATACGGTTTTCAGAAAAGTATTTTTTATATTTAACAGCAGGTTTTAGTAATATTTTCAGCCAACAATACTTCAAAAAAGAAAGTGGAAATGGGGTTTTTTAAAAGTAGTATAACTCTTGAAAAATATTAACGTAAAATTATGTGTTTTTACATTTTTTTTTACATTAACAGTTACGAAGAAATGCGGTATTTTTTATCTACCTAACAATTAAAGTATTTATCTCCACGTTACTATAAAGTTTACAACATGTCACTAATTCTTTTTTAAACAACGTACAAAACGCGGTAAAACTAAGTTTTTATAGAACATTCTAGGTTTTAATACATTTCTTAATTATTATGCTGCATAATAAACCTTGATACCTAATTAATTCAATATTTTATTAAGACTACCTGTCTTAAGTCATAAATTTTGCAAATAACATGTCGTTATTAGTAATAATAGCTAGGTACCTATTGTATACGTACCTAAGGATCATATAAAGTATTTGAGATATTGTGAAATAGTTTTTTTAAAGAGGTAAATTTCGTCCATGATCGGAAGACATTGATTATTTTTTTTAATATTTTTTTTAATACGTTGCCCTACACTAGGATTTTCTCCTGTGTCGTGTGTGCGTTTACAAACATACAAATTCGCATACACATGACGCCCAGACCCGGAACAACAATTTGTGGATCACACTATAAGTGTAGTTCCGTGCGGGAATCGAATCCGCGGCACGCTGCACGACAGCCGGTTGCTCAGCCACCGCACCAACCGTGCAGTCTATTTATTAACTCGTCGAGTACCGGTTTTGCAGACACAATTATAGAGGTAGAACAATAGGTTGCGGTCACCGGTGACCGCTTGGTGTTTGACAGTTTAAAGAGTTTCTAAAAGGGTTCTAATTTTAACTTCGATAATAATTTTAACCTTTTTAGGGCCAATTTTGCAATGCTCAGACTAATTTTAACTAAGGACTAGCTTTTAATACTTGACGATGCTTCCATACTGAAAACTCCGTACCTATGTAGTGTATGTAGGCTGCGTGACATCGCCGCGACCGCGCACGCTGCTCATGAGGAAGAACCCCCCTGGTTCGAAACTAGTAGAGCTTTTCTCAGTATATTCACGTGAGTAACCCGCGATTTTTAGTTACTACTGAAAAATTTTAAATGTCAATTTTATTCTACAGTTTAGAATTAACTGATGATTGAAAAATCGGCCAGTGGTTGCAAGTGCGACTGCCGGGCAAGGGGTCTCGGATTCGATTCTCGGGTCGGGCAGAGTATTACTGGGTTTTAAAAAAAATATCTCAGTAGTAGCACGGAGTCTGGAATTGTGCCCGGTATATGGCAATAGGCTCACCCCCTATTACATGGGACTCATAACATAAATAGTGAAAAGTGGGTGTTGCATTGTACAGTGGCATAATGTGCACCTCTGCCTACCCCTTCGGGGTGATGAAAAATTAGCCCTTAACGGCCTTAACGTTGTTTCGACTTTGTTCAACGGAACAGCAGCTGTAGCCAAATGCCATTTAGCGCTTGACTACATGTAAGATAGAAAACCAAACTATATGGGATTGACGTAAATTTTGACACTTGTCAATGTCATCCCCATACATTCATTTTTCTACTCTCTCTGTAGACAAGCGCTAAAGTTAAAGTTAAGTTAAGCTTAAAGCGTTTGGCTATAGGCACTGTTTTCAATATCAAAATTCTCAATAACTTTGTTATATTAAAAAAAGTATGTCAAGTCAATTAACTGTAGACTCGTTGTTTATCAGTAATTTTGGTGTTGTTCCCATTAGAGAGGCAGAAGAAAATACCTAACTACATGCCGCTAATTTGATGCAATAACGACGGAACTCAACGCACTTTTAATAAAAAATTTTAACCTACTTCAAACAAATGAGGTTTTCAGCTTAACCTGATGTATGTAGATATTTTTGTGCGTAATTATCTCGCGGTTAGCTGAATCAATTTTGATAATATGGTTTTCAGAAAGTGTTTGTACAGGAGAAGGTTAAAAATGAGCCGTTTGAAAATAACTTAACTGACTATCGGACGTAATGTCACTTGGAAATGATTGAAGCACCAAAATGTCAGTGGAGTATTTATGGATGCGGGTACTTGCAACACCGTAATGAAGTGTAATGACGGGCCATGTCACGCGACAGATGTCCTTCGTGTCAATGTGTGTGTATTCTACGTGTAAGTCTATAGTAGCTAGTGGCCACAGTCGTTGTTTAAAGAGACTATGTCCGCCTTTTTTTTTTAATATTTGGCCATAATAATTATCCTCACTGCCCACATTTCTAAAGCAAACAAGCGTGGTCTTATACTATTAAGTTATTTAATGATAATTATGTAAACACACTAATATGTAGTTATTTACTTAGCTTATTATCAACATTAATAGATTTCATTACATTGTCATTTAAATTAGACATTATTTATGACTTATCATCATCATCAACAGATGGTTGATGGATGATTCTCACACGGAGAAGGTTTGAGCATTAATCACCACGCTTGCTCAAGGCGGGTTGGCGATTGCAAACTTATATTTAGAAATTATAAGCCCAGGTTTCCTCACGATGTTTTTCCTTCACCGTTTGTCAGTGGTGTCTAAATAATCTTAGAAAGTACATATAACTCTGAAAAAGTCACATTGGTACTTGCCGTTGGTAGGTTTCGAACCCGCACCCTCATGCATGAGAAGTGGGCGTCTTAAACCTCCCGGCCACCACGACAATATCTAGTTATTTACTTAGGTTATTATCAACATTAATAGATTTCATTACATTGTCATTTAAATTAGACATTATTTATGACTTATCATCATCATCAATAGCCTAAAAACACCCCCTGCTGAGCAAAGCCTCTTCTCACACGGAGAAGGTTTGAGCATGAATCATCATGCTTGCTCAATGCGGGTTGGCGATTACAAACTTATATTTAGAAATTATAAGCCCAGGTTTCCTCACAATGTTTTCCTTCACCGTTTGTCAGTGGTGTCTAAATAATCTTAGAAAGTACATACATACAACTCGGAAAAAGTCACATTGGTAGGTACTTGCCGTTCGTAGGCTTCGTACCCGCACCCTCGTGTATGAGAAGCGGGCGACTTAAACCTTCGGGCCACCACAACTACACAATTTAGCAACAATCTCCCCAATCTATGAATTCCCAACAATCCTCAAACTCCTAGTCTCTGTTGTTCTGGGTGTCCATGAGCGGCGCCGATTTCTTACCATCAGGTGATCCGTCTGCTCGTTTACTGGCTAAGGCAAACTAGACAAGTGCATTGCATAGGGCGCTAGGTTAAATAGGAGCGCCATGAGACGTGTGTGCCCTACCACCATAGAGTGAGGGCGGCGTGAAAAGAAATTAAGGCGCCTATAAGGTGCCTGCCTAATGCCTAGGCTGCTCCCTAGTTTCCCAACTCCCTAATTTCGGCCTTATGTGGTAAAAATGAGCTTTCTCATTTATAATAATTAGCCTATTAGACTACTGTCTATACGGAGTCTGGAATTGTGCCCGGTATATGGCAATAGGCTCACCCCCTGTTACATGGGATACATAACATAAATAGTAAAACGGTGTTACATTGTACAGTGGCATTAAGTGTCGTAATGTGCACCTCTGCCTAACCCCCTGGGGAAAAAAGGCGTGATGTTATGTCATGTTGTTACAGTCTATCTAGCCATGTTTTTGTAGAATAGAAATTGACGAGTTTATTTTTGTTCATATGTTCAAAATCGTTTACATTTTCCTCATATGAAATCATTGTTTAAAATGTGCTTGGACATATTTATCTGAATTGACTCAGTGAGGCAAATCATTATCAACACGGGGTGCCGATCCACTGTTGAACTGTGAGCCATCTTAATAAGAATGTTTTCTATAATGTCTAATCAAATAATACAATGTGTCTAATATAATGTCTGTCAAAATGTAATTCATGACATTTTTTAATTGACAAATATATTTATTGACATTAAATTTTTAATTTAAAAGACTGCCTCGTTGGCCTTGTGGTCGCAAGTGTGACTGCCGGGCAAGGGGTCTCGGGTTCTAGTATTAAGTATTACTGGGTTTTTACAAAATTTTAAGTGGTAGCACGAAGTCTGGAATTGTGTCCGGTATATGGCAATAGGCTCACCTCCTACTCCTCCACTTACATGGGACTCATAACATAAATAGTGAAAAGTGGGTGTTATATGGTACAGTGGCATTAAGTACCGTAATGTGCACCTCTGCCTACCCCTTCGGGGATAAAAGGCGTGATGTTATGTTATGTTATGTAAATTTTTAATTAAATTGGTGACATTGCATTTTCAATTCACTTATAAATAATTGTGTTGATAGTT